GACACAGTGGGCAACGTGCCTGGGACTCCTCACTTTAGGCAGCCCAAAAATCTTGTACGAAACCCTGCCTGCCCCCCGTACAGCCTGTTCTTATGCCTTTTTTCCCTGCACATGCACAAACTTCCCAGTTCTCTCAGCACACCAGGAGGAGGAAGCCGCCATTTTCTTTTATTACACGGTGAAGGGAGAAGAAATTCACGATTTCACAGGGATTGTTTCACAACAAAATCTCAGCAGAGCGGAGAAAATGTTGTCTTTCAGTCTTTTCTGCTGGCTGAAGAAGATCTCATTGAGAAAAGCTGAAGAAGATCTCATTGAGAAAACATTCCCAGAGCTGTGTGTGAGAGAGTAACACAGACTTTACTAGATGAAACATCAGAAGACGCCATTCTTGATCCAAAAGACAAATCTTGCATAGAATTCTTCGAAGTTGTGGTGGACGAAACAATTGCTCACCTAAATGACAGATTTAAGCAGAGACTGTACTTTTTGAGAATACTAAGGAAAAACCATCTTCCGCAGAAACTGCTGCTTGCCTTCTATCACTGTGCCATTGAGAGCGTGCTCACTTATGGCTTATGTGTGTGGTACGGAAGCTGTACTACCCAGGACAGGATAGGGTTGTGCAGGGTTGTTAAGGCAGCAGAGAGCATTGTTGGCTGCCCACTCTCCACCTTAGAGCAGATTTATTCCACAAGGTGCCATAGGAAGGCACTGGACATAGTAAAAGATCCATCGCATCCTGGTCACTGTCTCTTCGAGCTCTTGCCATCGGGACGGAGATACAGGACGATGAAGACAAGAACGAGCCGTCTTAAGAACAGCTTCTTCTCCAGAGCGATCTCGGCCCTGAATGGGAAGCCCGAACTTTGAAAGTCATCTAATCTCCCTTGCTGTATTATACTGTATTGATTAATTAGTGTTTTTATGGAGCAGTCAAGTAATTTCGTTGTCCCCGAAGGGGGCAATGACAATAAAGATATTATTATTATTATTATTATTATTATTATTATTATTATTATTATTATAGCAGTTAAAGGATAAGCATGGATTCATATTTCATGTTAAATGTATGGCTAAAATAGGAGGTGGTGACCTTACAAAGAGTTGCAAAAATCATCTTTGTACCTTAAATATTCACAGAGGCGGAGCTTTCTGCTCCGACACCTGGAGCAGCACACATGCTGTGCACCCGGGGCGGGGCTAGCTGCCTGCGGGGGCGGAGCGAGCACCCCAGGGGGGCGCCACCTGCAGCAAGCATCCAGGGGGGGCAGCAATGTCACCCCCCCTCAGGGATGACACCCAGGGCGGCCAGCACTCACTGCACCCCCCTTCCTCCACCACTGAACATTCAGTAGAGTTGCTCACTGAAATCAAGTGGGGTGTTTTAGGTTATATAATCAACCTCACAAGAAATGTGCAGCTTGGGCAGCCTTTCAGGCGCAATACTTACAGGTACCGTGGGAATAAGTACTACATGCAAATTGGGGTAGTTTAATAATCAACATATCTACCCCAATTTACAACTAGTACTTCACAGTGTTTGCACTGTACTTGAAAGTGAGAGGTTGTTTTCAAATTTTTCAAATTCTTTTTGTTTATGACTCTCATTCATGTAGAATCATAGAATCATAGAGTTGGAAGAGACCACAAGGGCCATCGAGTCCAACCCCCTGCCAAGCAGGAAACACCATCAGAGCACTCCTGACATATGGTTGTCAAGCCTCTGCTTAAAGACCTCCAAAGAAGGAGACTCCACCACACTCCTTGGCAGCAAATTCCACTGTCGAACAGCTCTTACTGTCAGGAAGTTCTTCCTAATGTTTAGGTGGAATCTTCTTTCTTGTAGTTTGGATCCATTGCTCCGTGTCCGCTTCTCTGGAAGTGTGTACTTAAAGTGTGGTGTTGATATAACGTATTAAGCAATGTTTGCCACTCCACTTGTAATAGAAGCTAACCACTGTGAATGTGTTACGATATATCCAGTGCTTTTTTCCTGGGGGTACGCATACCCCTAAACATTTTGTGAATCTAAGTTGGCCTCATTGAGGGGCAGTATTTCAATATGAGTAGAAAAATGAGAGTACCCCTAAACATTTTTTTAGAAAAAAAGCACTGGATATATTTCTCCATACTTCCATGTACTGTGGTACCTCAGGTCACAAACACCTTGGATTACAAACACTTCGAGTTACAAACTCCGCTAACCCGGAAGTAGTACTTCGGGTTGAGAACTTTGCCCCATAATGAGAATGGAAATTACACAGTGGCGGTGCGGCGGTGGCAGCGGGAGGCCCCATTAGCTAAAGTGGTGCTTCAGGTTAAGAAAGGTTTCGGGTTAAGAACAGACCTCCAGAACGAATTAAGTTCGTAACCCGAGGTACCACTGTATAGATTAAAGCAAAATCGTATGCCTGTCTTGCTTTCATACTATAAGGGTTCCCAAATGACTCTCTTCCACAGAGCCTCCCAAATACCAGGGCCACCATGAAGCTGGGGGAATGCATCTTGTTTCTACCTCGTGTGTGTAAATACAAGCAGGGCCGTCTTTACCCGGGGGTGCAAGGGGTGCGGGGCACCTGGGCGCTGATTTCTGGGGGACTCCAGGCGCCCACCACTGAAGCCGCCTAAGCTCTTAACTATCTACCTGTTAAGAAATAATAAATAATTTTGATCAAGCTAGAAAAGCAAAATACATGTATACCTAGGTATTACCGAAATGTATACCTACTGTTTCACTAAAGGACTTTCGACTTTGTGCACTCATTTACCAAAGACGCACCGCACTGCACCAGCTTGTCATTCACAACGGTGCCATGCATGCAAAATTTGGGGGCTAAACTAAATTTGGGGGCACTGGGCAGATCTTTGTACCCCAGCGGTGCACATGCTAAAGACAGCGCTGAATACACGCCTATGTACACTACAGCATCATGACACATTTTGTCATTTTTCATACTGGACCTGGTGAGATGCATTTAGAAATGTGCACCATCTTTACAATCTGTTCAGCGCTTCAGGGTACAACATATTAAATACTCAGCACAGGTTTAAACTATTGATTTATACACCACTTGGTTGTTGTTGTTGTTTTAAGCCCTCAAAGTGGTTTACAAAAAAGACAAAACCATAAAATCAGGAAAAATGTAGAGCGATAATATAGAGCAATCATGTTTTTTTGCTACCTCTTTAAGCAAAGGTCTGAACACTGTCTTTGCTGTAATTCAGAATGAACAAGGAAGGCTCTCTCTCTCTCTCTCTCTCTCTCTCTCTCTCTCTCACACACACACACACACACACACACACACTCATAAGCACCCCCAGCGTCACCAAGATTATAGCTATTACAGTGATACCTCGGGTTAAGTACTTAATTCATTCCAGAGGTCCGTACTTAACCTGAAACTGTTCTTAACCTGAAGCACCACTTTAGCTAATGGGGCCTCCTGATGTTGCCGCTCCGCCACCACATGATTTCTGTTCTCATCCTGAAGCAAAGTTCTTAACCTGAAGCACTATTTCTGAGTTAGTGGAGTCTGTAACCTGAAGTGTATGTAACTTGAGGTACCACTGTATTACAATACACAGGTCACAATTCCCTGATCAACATATACATAGTCTATTGCTGCCTGGAGCACCTCCCCAATGTGCTACAAGGTCATTTTGACAGACACAGCAGCTTCTTGGACCAGTCATTGTACTATGGTGCCATCCAATGGCCAGATCAAGAAATGAAATACTGTGAACAAGACACTGTTCTTATTCTGGGTGCAATGTATGAGAATCATTCCTAAGCAAGAAGTTTCACCTATGAGCCTTTCAGCCTTTCTTTCTGTGCACATGTATGAATATGAATATGGAATGGGTTGCACAGGAGCATGATTTTAAATTGACTGTGCATGCTATATAATGTAGATTTTGCAATTGCATAACTTCACCTTTTGAACGTGGCTGCACCTCCCACCCCAATGAACAGTTGCAACTGACCCAGGCGAGAGCCTGCATGGGCTGGAGAGTGTTGGGTGGAAGGTGCTTAATTTTTTTCTGAAGCCACAAGCATGGATTTGAAGAAGTCCTAAGGAACTGGGAATCCGGCTTCCAAAAAATGCATCCGTGTTCTTTGGTTGCTTATCCAAAGTGGATCAAACTTCTAGGCCAGAAATGACTCGAAACATTTTGGTGCTTTGGGCAGCAAATCCAAATTAGTGCCCCCACTAGAAGCTGGCGAGAATATAATAATAAACTAAAAAACTGTCAGTTTGCATTTTTATGCTCCCCAAATACGTCAGCCTGAGGTGAGCCACTTCACCTCTGTCTAATGGGAAGGCTAGGTGCTTAGCCAATAGGAAAAATACAAGGTTGTATATACCATAATGCTTGTCCTACTCAGAGTAGATCCATTGAAATTAACAGACATAATTAACTTAGGCTGCTTACTATTTAAGTAAGCCTATTCTGAGTAAAACCTAGTTGGAGACAACCCATTATGTCCAACAAATATTTCCTCTTGTTGACTGTCTGTACCAGTCTGTTTATGGAATATATATACCTTATTTGATTTCAGGTTTCCTACATGTCCCTTCTGAGAGGAGGAATAATAAGATATTCACCTGGTTAGCTAAGGATTAGAAGGGAGCGGTGTGTGTTTAATTAGGTTTTGGAGAGCTTATTTGACTCCTAAGGACCACTATCAGGAGAGAAAAAATATCACATACATACACAACTTTGAAAATGAGGAGGAGAATAAGGGCAGTGTGTTGCAGAAAGCTGTTCCTTCTAAATATGAAAATATAATAACTGATCTTACATCTGCGAAGAGGGGGCTGGGAATTATTTGCGGCTTTGGGACAGGTCATCTAATCTGTTTGCTTGAGAAGATCTGCCCTTCCACATACTCAGCTTGTCGGTGGATAATTACCCCTCACAGATCATTGTCTCCATGTTTTACACTGAGACAATTGTCGTGAAAGGGTAACACCCAGAATCAAAGGAACAGTGACATGAGCATTAACGCAGGTGAAGTTGAAAGATTCCTGGACACCCACCCAGATTTTGCTAGGCAGTATTTTGAGAAGAAAATGGGAAATGGGACCCCGGTTGCCACGACAAATAGCCACCAACGCTTGGAAGAGTTCACTGGGCTGGGCCAGGAGGAGGAGAGTGAAGCGTTTTTTGAACTGATCCAAGATATGCAGGAAAGCATCAACATGGAGAAGGTCGTCTTCAAGACCCTACGGAGAATCAGTGCCCTGATCCATGCTGACCGGTGCAGCCTCTTCATGTTCAGGCAGCGAAATGGTACCCCTGAACTTGCAACCCGGCTGTTCAACATTCATAAGGAGAGCACACTAGAAGAATGCTTGGTAGCCCCTGACTGCGAAATTGTCTTCCCTTTAGACATTGGTGTTGTGGGGCACGTTGCTCAGACCAAGAAGACCGTGAACATCCCAGATGTTGGTGAGGTAAGGCTACCAGTTTGTTTGCCAGTTTGTTTCTGGGACCAATTCAAGGTGCTCTCATTAGTACTACTTAAAGCCCTAAACGCCTTAGGCTAGGGGTACCAGACATCCCCATTTCCCGGGGACAGTCCCCGGATTTGCAAATAAGTCCCCAGACAAATTCCATCCCCGGATTTCATCTAATGTCCCCAGGAAATGCAGTCTCAGCAGCCCGGAGCAGTTGGTTCTGGCTGGCTTCAGGAGCTGCTCGGAAGTCCCCATACGATGGTGGTGCAGGGGCTCTCAGATGCAGCTTCCAGGCTGCTTCCACCTTCCCTGACCCCAGCAACTACGCTGGGAAGGGAGGCTTCATGCTGCCTATCGGAGCAGCCTCCCAACTCCTACTTGCGTGCAAGCAGGAGTGGGGCGGGGATCTCTCCCTTCCCAGCTGAGGCCCCTGTCCACTGGCTGGGAGAAATCGGGGCGCCCTAGGATCAAGGCAGAAGCTGTAATGGTTTTAGTCATTCCAGGGCCATCCCGGCAAAATCGGGACTGTTGGAGGGTATGTTACAATCACCATAGAATTGCAAACACTGTCTCTTTCCTGAAATGTCTAAGCCAGCCTGACTTCCAGCTTCAGGGACATGGGTGGCGCTGTGGGCTAAACCACCGAGCCTCTTGGGCTTGCTGATCGGAAGGTTGGTGGTTTGAATCTCCGTTACAGAGTGAGCTCCCATTGCTCAGTCCCAGCTCTTGCCAACCTAGCAGTTCAAAAACACACCAGTGCAAGTAGATAAATAGGTATCGCTGTGGTGGGAAGGTAAACAGCGTTTCCATGCGCTCTGCTTTCCATCAAGGTGTCCCCTTGTGCCAGAAGCGGTTTAGTCATGCTGGCCACATGACTTGGACAAATGCCAGCACCCTCAGCCTGAAGCAAGATGAGCACCGCAACCCCATAGTGGCCTTTGACTGGACTTAACTGTCCAGGGGTCTTTTAACTTTTTTTTTAAAAAAAAAACCTTTTTACTGTTCAACTCTTTCACCTGCAGTTTGCATTCAGACAAAATTTGTTTGAGCCCCCACCTCACCCAGCAGGTAGGTGTGACCTGAATCATTGATCCCGTCAATAGTCAACCAGCTGTCCGCCTTGAGAAAAGAAGCTTCAAAATAGGACAGTATGGTTGCACTAGGTCAAAGATCTGTTATGATTTCAGTATAATTTACTTATTGTATATGTTCTGTGATGAATGGAATGTAGAAAGACTAGCCTATCACAGACATCTCTACAGTCAGTTGGGTTAGTTCAAAGTTATAGCCTGCTTAATTTTGTAATTTTGTATTTACCACACATCTGTCCCTCAACCTTCTGGAGTGGATTTAGGAGGTGGGGGCTGCAAAAGGGAGGGGGAATCACTCAAAATCACTTACCGTATTTTTCGCTTTATAAGACACACCAGACCATAAGACGCACCTAGTTTATGGAGGAGGAAAACAAGGAAAAAAATATTCTGAATCCCAGAAGCCAGAACAGCAAGAGGGATCTCTGCGCAGCGAAAGCAGCAATCCCTCTTGCTGTTCTGGCTTCTGGGATAGCTGCACAGCCTGCATTTGCTCCATAAGACGCACACACATTTCCCCTTACTTTTTAGGAGGGAAAAAGTGAGTCTTATAGAGCAAAAAATACGGTACTTACTGTTCTGTTGATGAGAGCCTTACTATCAGCTAAGCGACACTGTCGGATATAACTGAAGGTTTTTGAAATAAGTGAAAATCCAGTATTACTGGAGCTCATTTCTAAGACTTTCAGAAAATAAGTTGATGCCTAAACCGTTGTGATGGGCAAGTTAGACTTGTTCAGTTTGCTGTGTGTTTTTCTGCTACTTTTAAGGTATTTGTGCATCATGTCATTTCTATCTTACACATTTTGAAAAACCTGAAATATAACTGTTTGTAAAAAAAAATTGTAATTTTTAATTAAAATCAACAGTGTGACCATTTTAGTACTTTTGTTGATGAACTCACCGACTACACCACAAGGAACATCCTTGCAACCCCAATCATGAATGGTAAAGATGTGGTTGCTGTGATCATGGCAGTGAATAAAGTCGGAGGTCCATTCTTCAGCAGCGCAGATGAAAGTGTAAGTGTGAATACAACTTGTTAGGGAGAATCTCCTTGCCCATTAACACTGCCTATAAGCATTATAGCATCGCCACACCTTGTTGAACTGATTGAAGCTTTCTTAATGTTCCCAGATTTTCCTGAAGTACCTCAATTTTGCCTCTTTGAACCTGAAAATTTATCATCTTAGCTACCTTCACAATTGTGAAACTCGAAGAGGTCAGGTAAGGAAAAAAATATTTCTGAACGCAAGGTGTCTTTCCCCCACTCGGCCTAAACCTTCTTTAGATAAGTAGCAACTGCTGTTTCTGCCCCTAATTTGCCTGGTCTTCTTCTCCTACTCTTGCTTGTCTGAAGATGAGGGCCAATATTTTTTTAAGTCAAAAGCTGACATATTTATTTCCTGCACACATACCTGGTTTGAAATTTCAAACAGTGCTCTTGGAATCTACTCTGTTGTCGAATCAACTAACATGTCGATTTGCTGTTCTGCAGGTTTTGCTGTGGTCAGCCAATAAGGTATTTGAGGAACTGACTGACATTGAAAGGCAATTCCACAAATCATTTTACACAGTGAGAGCATATTTGAATTGTGACAGGTATTCTGTAGGCCTTCTAGATATGAGCAAAGAAAAGGTAAGCTAAGTTTCTAAGATTTTTTATTAAGAGTGGTAGCGAGCATGCTTTGCATGGAAAAGGAATCTAGTCCAGTCCTTGGCATCTCCAATGTATATACATTATTATTATTATTATTATTATTATTTTGTAATAATGTCACACCTGGAAATATTTAAATCATGGGAGGCATTCACTTTTTGTTTTGTTTTTTGTTTTTTGTCTTCTGAAATAATATTTATCTCCCTTTCCAGGAATTCTTTGATTTATGGCCAGTTCTAATGGGTGAAATTCCCCCTTACTCAGGACCTCGGACTCCAGATGGCAGAGTAGGTCTTTAAACTGACAATAAATATCTCGTTTCACCACTTGGTCACTTGCTATGAATTCTCATTTCTGTTCTATTTGTAGGAGATCATCTTTTATAAAGTCATTGATTATATCTTACATGGAAAGGAGGAAATCAAAGTCATCCCGTAAGTAAAAAAGAAATGACCTCATGGGCAATGCAAAACTATTTAAGGCACAGGAGCCTTGTTCTCTTTTTCATCTGGCCACTTTATTTGCAAAATATATTTGTAAGACAACATTAGGAACTCTTATTGAATCATACCCCACAACTGTCCCAGGAAAAGCGGGACACACCATTTTTTCCACACAAGAGAACAGCAGCCATTTTGGGTTCTGCAATTTCTCTGTGAAAAGAACACGGGGGGGGGGGGGCTGTGATCTCATGTGGGTCGTGTGACTCGCCCGTGAACATGGCCCAGAAAACATGCAACCCGGTTTTTGGCCTGGACATGTTGGAGGGTATGAAATGTTAGAAGGGAAAGTATCAGGAGGCTGGGATTGCAGTAAAGTTCTTTAAGAATTTCAGCACGAGTAATTTAAGTGTGTTCTGTTTGTAGCCAGTCCTAATTTGATCAACGTTTTTGTGCATTTTCTTTTCCATTTAGAAATCCTAAGCCAGATCACTGGGCATTGGTTAGTGGCCTTCCAACATACGTTGCAGAAACTGGTTTCGTAAGTATTTACATTAGCATATTTCCATGATTCATCAAGACAACGTTGGCCAAGAGCTAAAGAACCATGGGATGACTTCCATGTGACCAAAAGAGCTTTGGACTGGTTCTTCTCAAACAGCTCCCGCCCTGTGCCGCATAGCAAGTAGCCATCCTGAAATGAAGGATAGTTTCAAAAGTAGTTTGTGCTGTGACCTGGAGGTTGTGCAAGATCTTGGGTGGTCTTGGTAGGAGTGCTTTGGATCAGATGGCTTAAATAATTCTACTTTAGATCTAATTAACAGCATGTAAAAAATACAGATGGAAACTAAACATTTCTGCATTTTTTTAAAAGATTTGCAACATTATGGATGCAGCTTCGGATGAGATGTTTACATTTCAGGTACTGTAAGTGTGTGATGGTTTTCATTGCTGCCTCCTGTATAATGTTGCGAGCCTCCATCCATAGTTCTTCAGGCACTCTGTCCACCAAATCTAATTCCTTAAACCTGTTCCTCACTTCCACTGTGTATTCATAAGGGATTTGATTTAGATCCACTGGCCCAGTGGTTTTTCCTACTTTCTTCAGTTTAAGCTTGAATTTTGCTATAAGAAGCTGATGATCTGAGCCACAGTCAGCTCCAGGTCTTGTTTTTGCTGACTGTATAGAGCTTCTCCATCTTTGGCTGCAGAGAATATAATCAATCTGATTTCAATGCTGCCCATCTGGTGATGTCCATGTGTAGAGTCGTCTCTTGTGTTGTTGGAAAAAGAGTGTTTGTGATGATCAGCTTGTTCTCTTGGCAGAACTCTATTAGCCTTTGCCCTGCTTCATTTTGGTGCTCTGGTCCATGGGGTCACGAAGAGTTGGACATGACTAAATGACTAAACAACAACAACAAAGTGTGTGATTGCAGCTGTTCATGAGGGGTCCCCCACTGGTGTATCTTGGGAAGAAGGAATGAATGCTAAATCCATTTAAGTTTGTAATGCAGAGCTATGCTCCTAGTTTAAATATGGTACTGTCCATACGACATCCTCCTTTACCTTGGGTGAATAATAATATCACTATTATCCAGTGGGTATTGCCCCCTTGATATTGAGGGACGATTTCCAATCATCGTGGGAAAGGGAGGTCATTAATGAGGTTCAATCCTGTGGATTGTCTCTCCTTTACTTTGAGTCTATGACGTACAATCAAGCTAGAGCTGTGATCTCCCGGAGACTGAGTGACATTGCCAGACAAGAGGACATAGCCCAGGTAAAACCAGGGATGTTCCTAGGGGACCAGATTTATCGGACCATACCAGCCCCCTACCTTGCAGAAATCCACTATGTGGAATACCGTAGACTTCTTACAGCGGCTAGATTAAATGTCCTTGACTCTGCGATATTGTGGGGAAGGTACAGGGGAGTACCATACGCCCAGAGAACTTGTCACTGTGCCATGGGTGTGGTTGAGTCCACCGAACACATTCTCTTGACTTGCCCTTCTTATGCAGAGCTTAGACAAAATTTTATAGACCCACTCCTATGTCAATTCAGCTTCCTACCCGGAGAAAACCAGGTTTTACACTTGCTGAATAACGCCACTAGAGCTATACCTTCCTTGGTGGCCAAATTTCTCTTCTTAGCTTTTAAGCGTCGCAAGACTATAATTGACTGTATTGATATGGGGCTATCTGTTTAGCCCATTTTAGTGTTGGCTAAGTTTTAAAATCTTCCTGGATGTTTTTAACTGTGTATTGACAAAATGTACTTTTTTCTGACTGACAGTTGAATAAAAAGGATGAACCTGAATATCACTATTATATTGGGACAATGTGCAATTTATAGTGACACATACTTCGTATGTTGCTTTAAGGAAAGTCCTGTTGATGAATCAGGGTGGATCATCAAAAATGTTCTCTCCATGCCAATAGTCAACAAAAAGGAAGAGATTGTTGGTGTTGCTACCTTTTACAACAGAAAAGATGGGAAGCCCTTTGATGAACAGGATGAAACACTAATGGAGGTGGGTTTCTTTATTGGAGCTGGAATTGAAAACAGATGTTCTTTTGCCCCATCTTTTTGTGCCTGCCAAAGAGAATATTTTATTCTCTTGTTAATTATGCTGTTTTAAATGTGCATTTTATATTTGACTTCACTTAGCAATTTTTTGTGGGTTTTTTTTAAAAAAGTTTTTTGTTAACTTTGTTTGTGTTAAATATGTATTCTGCAGTTGACCTCCTTTGTAATGTTTCCTTTTGAAATCTTTAAGATAATATTTTAGTTTTCCGTTAATTATGTTGCTTTGACAGATTGGTTTGTTGATATTTTATTGGTGTTTTAATATGCTGTAAACCGCTTTGAGATTTTTCTTAAAAATATAAACCGGTGTAGAAATGAAATGAATAATAATAATAATAATAATAATAATAATAATAATAAAAGACAGTTGATTGCAAAATACTAACACAATTCTGCAATAAACCAACAGAGTTACCGTAATCTTGTACTAGCCTTAGGTTCCTACTCCATGCAGTATGCAAATAAATAGTTACCTGATGTATGGAGCTAGCCTCCCTTTCTTAAATGTTGGTCTCCCACTTCTTTTTATGCTACTTCCATCAGTACCCAACTCTGCTACAAACCCATTTTACCTTCAAGTTGTACCGTATGTCTCTCTCACACCTTTAGGCCACTCTTGAACTGGCTTTCTGTACCCTACCGTGCTCATTTAAACCTCCCCCTTGACTTGAGATAGTTACTGATTCTCCCCAGCTATTGTATCATCTTTTGCTTTCTCCGGCTCCTCTTCTCTTTGATTGTCTACAATTAAACCGTGTTCCAAATCCATGGTTTTATGTGCATTTCCCTTAGCTTCTTCTGCATATCATCTTCAAAAAGTCATCAAAATAGCCTTCATCTGTTGGGATATGAGAGCTCACCAGCTGCGTGATAGCAGCACATTGTTTACATCATGTGATTCTTATGATGTTACTGAGCGTGAGACAGGATGTCCTACGCTGCTCTCAAGGTTGTGTTCTCAGTGTAACTTGAGACCTTCCTGTCGTTGCCTTCTCATCAACCAGGAGCCCTCAATATGTGTTTGGACTGAGTTCCTGAACAACATCTGGAGAGCACTGGGTTGGCAAAAGCTGCTCTAAAGCCTTATCTCTTTCTTCTTTGATTGTATCATTCAGAGGCAGATTTAGGGCTGCAAAACCGGTTCCACCACACAGGGTACAGGAGCCAAGGGGGCATCTTCCTGCCTTCTTCCCAAAGGCTAGTAAATGCTGGGCTTTGGGAAGAAGGCCTGAGGGCTCTGACAGGGTCCTCGGGTCCGCCTGTCTCCTTCCCAACACCTAGGTAGCGCTTGCCTAGCTTTGGGAAGGAAGCAAGAGGGCTCTAGGACCCTGCGCCTCCCTCCCAAAGCCCAGTGAGCCCTCACCAGGCTGTGAGAAAGCAGCTTTGGGTTGGTGGTGGTGGGGGAGCATCAAATTTTGGCCTCGCACAGGGCACCATATTACCAAGGTCCACCTCTGTATCATTCCCTCCAGTAATGGGCTTGTAGTTGTTCTTTTTAATTTGCTGCTGGTTTTTTAAAAAAGGTTTTTGTTTTTAAAATCATGATATTGCTAGTGTGTTTTTAACCTGTGGTGTTAGCCACCTCGGCCATTTCCTTGACTGTAAAAAGGCAGAATAAAAATCCTAATAACAGTTAATAAACATATACATATCACCACCGTATTAGTACTGTTCTTTAAGAGACATCACTGAGATCTGGGAGAAGGAGAAGGGCCAACTCCTGTGCAGCTGTAATAATAATAATAATAATAATAATAATAATAATAATTTTTATTTATACCCCACCCTCCCCAGCCAAGGCCGGGCTCAGGGCAGCTAACAAGCAATAAAAAAAATAAATAGTAACTTTTGTTTTATTTCCCAAGTCCTTGACACAGTTCCTTGGCTGGTCTGTGCTCAATACGGATACCTACGATAAGATGAACAAGCTGGAGAATCGAAAGGATATCGCACAGGACATGGTGTTCTACCACGTGCAATGCGACAAGAATGAAATACAAGCAATCCTGGTATGGTTTTTAAAGCCCTTGGTTTTTTCCCCTCACTCCAAAACCGCTTGTTAATATTTTAAACATTCAAATCCAGGCTTCTCCCCATTTCGACTGTTGCCAATCAGTTGAAATTAGTGTTCTAGGACCACCCCCCCAATTTTTTTTTACTTTACTCATATTTTTGGGGAAACCAGTGTTGCTTTCATCATGTCGCAAAAACTGGCAACACTGAAATAGAAACTCACACATCCATGAGCCCTGATATCTTGCAACCACATGACAAATATCCAAGTAACACACAAATACGTGTAATAAAGGCCCGGCAGATTTTTGTTTTCGGTTTTTCACTGGAAAGCAGCATCAGAAGCCTGCGGTTTTGAGCAGAGTAGGGGGAAGTGGAAATGGCTGCCCCTTTCATGTTGGCCGTTCTCCTAATTAAATCATCCCCACAAACTGCTTTGCCCCCCAGCCACCTGGGTTCTAGATCATAGCTGTCAACCGTCCCTTATTTGGCAGAAAACCCCCTTATCTATCCCAGTGCCATTTCCCACTGCTGTCCCGGATTGATGATGTCCCTTAAATTTCCCGGGTTTCATGCTCGCCCGGCTCGGGAGGGAAGCAGTGGCTCAGGGTCCTCTGCCTCCAGAGAGCTGGAGCGTCTCCGTCTCTCCCTTTTCCCCCTCAGGGGCGCATCATGAGGAGACGGGTGGCGGCGGGCGGGCAGGCAGCCCATCTCTTGCGAGACTTCCGCCGCACTGCCAGGGGAAGCCAGAGGCGGCAGCGGCGGCTGAGGAGGCGGCCTGAGGGAGGAGGAAGAGGAGGGGATGGGGTGGCGCTTCAGCGGCTGCCGCAGCGCCACAACCGCCTCATGCCGGGCTGGCGGGTGGCGTGGGTGAAAGTCCCCCTCCCTCCCTCCCTCCCTCCCTCCCTCTCTCTCGGGCGGGGAAGGGCCGATGGAACTCCTCACTCCAAGATGACGGCATCCCCGACGTGCTGCTTAGCATCCCCTCCAGCCAGTGCAGCATCTTAATGTAGTGATTTCCCCCTCTGCATCCCTTTCATAACTCTATATTTATAAATCACTTGTCCATCCATAGTTCAAATTTTTACTACAAGTTTTCTGTCAATCCTACCAGTGTATGTAACTCTTTACAATAGCTTTTCCAATAAATTATAAACTTCCCCCATTCTTTATTAAAGAGGTCCTCTTCCTGGTTTCTAATTCTGCCAGTAAGCTTTGCCATCTCCACGTCGTTCATCAGTTTTGTCTGCCCCTCTTCTTTGGTGGGAGTTGTAGACCCTTAGGATCATCTGGTCCAACCCCCTGCAAAACACAGTCAGGGGCAGCCAAAGCAGAATGGCTTCATCAGTGGTGGATTTCTGTATAAACTAAGCCAAAATCCCTTATTTTGGCTGCTGGTCCCTTATTTTCAAATCTGTAAGTTGACAGCTATGTTCTAGATGCATATTTACCTTTCCCTAGAACCCTGACATGGGGAAGGCATCTTGGGTGGCCAATTCTGAGTGAGAAAATGGTTGGTGGAGAAAGGGATAAACAACAAGCCCTCCTTCTCTGCTATTCCTCCATTCAAAGTGTACAGGCTTATGAGGCTGCTTTTCAATTATGTGTAATTTACTCCTTGAAAAGAATATTTGCTTCAATGCTGCAGACGGAAGGATTGAATATACTTCCCAAGTAGGGATGAGGAAGACATGTAGAGGGAGAGAGGGCACTTTTGTAATAATTTGGATGTTTAAATTGCTTTTAAAGGGTTATGTAAGTTTGCATGAGGAAGAGTTGTCAAGTCTCACTCTTTAAAGTACAGTATGCATATATATATATATATATATATATATATATATATATACACACAGAGAAAGTTGGTCTCTGTGACTGTGTACACATTTCCATTTACTACAGCTCCACTGCCCTCCCACTGCTGTGGACGCTGTGGACACGTGATGTTAGCCGCAATCCATATTTATCCTGTTGTTTCTTGAGAACTTATGTCTTACGTGTTTTCCCTCGCACCATCTGATTTGAAAATGTAAGCCACATTCACTTCACAGTTCAGCTGAGGTGTGTACATTTGAGACAGCTGCTGCACATGCTCAGTGGGCTACTTCCTGAGTCGGAGTTCAGGGAGTCTTACAGGCACAGGGAAAACTAATGTGTCCATTAGCCTTTGCATGAGTGGTATTTCAGACACTTGTCAGTAGGTGCCAGAATGACATTTGCTCAGCAGCCTCACACACCCTGTCACCAGTAGCATCCTTGTAGCATTAGATCTGCCTTAGGCACCAAAACGTCTTGGCCCATCTCTGAGTGTTGTCAGCCATAATTCAGCTTGTATATGTCTCCACAGCCGACACGACAGAAACTTGGGAAAGAGGTTGCTGAGTGTGATGAGGAAGAGTTGACTGCAGTTCTAGTGAGTGTCCACATGGCTTGTTCCGGGTTAATACCCTTCTTTTGAAATTTCACAGTTAAACTTTCTCCCCTGCCAAAGTCATACAACACAGATTATAATATAACCAGGGGAAACATCTCCCCCAGCAGAGCTGGGTGTGCAAGGTGTATCAGCAGAGTCCAATATCAAAGAATATGATCAATACTATTGGGATGGACAATAAATGGCAAAAGTGGTGTTGTCTCCCAGCCCAGCTCCTGGCAGCTGGTCAATTTTTATGGTGCAGCTTTTACATGTAAAAAAGCAAAATTGATTTTTAGTGTGTGATTCCCCCAACCAGCTCTGTCAGCGGAAGGCCTTCTGCTTGCTTTAGGATGTGTCTTGCAAGCTTGAATGCTTGTGCAGATGGAACAATTGGAAGAACGCAACACTAATTCCACCTGTAAAAGAAGAATAGAAGGGGGGGAAAGTTGTTCCTTACTTTAATGTTACTTCTTGGTTGAGTGCTGGTTTTATTATCAATCTTTTTCATTCACTTGGAGGTTGGGTTGTGTAGAAAATTGCACACTTTGGGCTCCTAAGAATACAGGGTAACTAAACTTTCAGTGGGACACAGGTGGCACTGTGGGTTAAACCACAGAGCCTAGGGCTTGCTGATCAGAAGGCCGGCAGTTTGAATCCCCGCAACAGGGTGAGCTCCCGTTGTTCGGTCCCTGCTCCTGCCAACCTAGCAGTTCAAAAGCATGTCAAAGTGCAAGTAGATAAATAGGTACCACTCTGGTGGGAAGGTAAACGGCGTTTCCGTGTGCTGCTCTGCTCTGCTCTGCCAGAAGTGGCTTAGTCATGCTGGCCACATGACCTGGAAGCTGTTCGCCGGCTCCCTCGGCCAATAAAGTGAGATGAGCGCCGCAACCCCAGAGTCGGTCACGACTGGACCTAATGGTCAGGGGTCCCTTTACCTTTACCTTAATCTTTCAGTAGCTATTTCAATTGCTGGCGTCTCTGAATAAGCCAAAAGTGGTATTGGCACAAAATCTTAAAACAGGAAAGCAGAATGAGTGATGTGTCTTAGATCCCAAGACCAGTTTGACTCTCAGGCTATTAGTATTGGATATATTTATTAATGAAATTTGTGCAACAAACGTTATTTGGGCAACCTCATAACAAAGTTCTCTCGGCAGCCTACATGAAATATCCATTGGCCGAAAGAGACGATAATCTTTGGCAATTGATTTAGCTCCTTTGTAGAAGCAAAATTTGCCCTCCATCACAGCAAGAAGCAGCGCCAACACAAATATTATTGTGTCGATCACATATGGGCGCATAAAAATAATTGGCCCAGCAGCCACAGTTTGGGAGATTTTTGAGAAATGCTTGGTACTTGGTCAGTGGGATTTGCACCACTTCAACCAATGCTCAGACTCTCCCCCTGCTCCAGAAAGAACAACTTCCAGATCCTGCACAATTTGAGATCTACGATTTCCACTTTTCTGATTTGGAATGGACTGAACTTGACCTTGTGAAATGTGGCATTCAGATGTATTATGAACTTGGAGTGGTGAAAAAATTCCAGATTCCACAGGAGGTAAGTGACCACTTTAATCTGTGGGCTAATTCTCTCAGTTGTCCACATGAGGATATTGTATACTACATATATTTTCCTTTGATCTGTTGTTTGTCTGTAACATATTTTGGTCCCTTGACTATTAAATCCTAATTGAATGACTGGCATCTACCCACTTCTCCCAAGCTCCAGAAAATCCATGAGACAGCAGCAACCTACATGAGGAAGCCACAGTCTGGTAGAGACTTGCAGCCATTTGGGGGCTGCGATTCTTTCCTCTGAGACCTGAGGTCTAGGGAAAACTTGTATATACTTTCCCCTCTCCTTAGTAACGTTCATTTAATTTATTGCAATGAAAACTTTGCAGATTCCAAAAATACTCCAGAAAGTGAGCCAGTGGTTTGTTTGTTTGTGAGCCCCCATCCCCATCCCCATTTTATGACAACAATCTCATCTGTTTCTGGCTGCAGAGTTTTCAAAACCTGCGCTTACTAAAGTTCTGTTTTCCCAGGTCCTGGTGAGGTTCATATATTCCGTCAGCAAGGGTTACAGAAGGATTACCTATCACAACTGGCGCCATGGCTTCAATGTTGCACAAACCATGTTCACACTTCTCATGGTATCTCGGTCTTTACTGATATTTTTCCTTCCCAAGATGCTGTTTCAGCTGAGATCAACTGCCCTCTCTTTATATGATTTTTATCCTCCCATCCCCTTGAGTTAGACTCCCTTTGTCCTTAAATGAACAAAGAATAAGTCTTACTGCAGGAAGAGTTATCAGCCTTTTCTGATGGTTTGCATAAGAGACTGTTCGTCTGTTTTTGCAGAATTTTAATCCCACTCTTCAGCCCCAAAAGCTCCCAATGTGGGAGTTTAGAGCCCCTACTGTCAGGTTTACATAGTGCTTCTTTCCCCCCCTAAAAAAATGTTTAGGGGTACTTTCATTTTCCTACTCATATTAAAATACTGCCCCTCAACGAGGCCAAACTTAGATTCATAAAATGTTTTGGGGTATGCGTACCCCTGCGTTCCCCAGGGAAAAAAGCACTGGGTTTACAAACTAAAGGACACACACACAACACAAAAGGAAAGTGGGTTGTGTCTTTTTTGTGAGGGGTGGGGAATAAGCAAACTCAGGTGCAAGTTCTTGGTTACAAGGTCTTCTAATGATCAGTTAGGGTAGAAAAGTTCAAGGAAAGTAGGGTAGAAAAGTTCAAGGTGCAAAAGTTGCTGGTCTCTCAGCTGTTATGAGTGGTCCTGTATTTGTGCTTCTCCTTTAACATCTGCAGCAGCTTCTAGCTAATATTTTCTGCCTTTGCTGTCCTATCTATGAAACGCTTAAGAACTCAGAAGGGTCTGTGGAATAAGTTTATACAGCCAGTGGAATCAAACAGTAAAAAAATTCCTGGGCTATATACTACTTCACACCACAGGTGGAGGGATTAAGGATTGTATATTTGAATGCTTTTCACTTTAAATGCATCTTGCATTCCAAGTTCAAATTTTAGTTCTGTATCTGCCTAGTAGAATAGGTTTTTGACTACTAGTAAGTAGCAATGCCAAGTGAATTTTCTACTAGAAGCACTAATCAAAACCTGTGATCCTTACACGGTATAGACAGGCAATCTGAAACAGTACTACACAGATCTTGAAGCGCTTGCAATGGTGACTGCGGCTTTGTGTCATGATATTGACCATCGAGGGACCAACAATCTTTATCAGATGAAGTAGGTTCTATTGTGCTGGTGTTTGATGTGCGTGAGGTTTTTAAAGTATGCAAAGTCTAGCCAGCTTTCAAAGAATTTTAAATATTTGTGTTAATTCTTTACTGTCTGCAGTTTTAGATATGATTTTATTCTTCCTAATTGATATGCCTTTCTGTTGATTTTTGTTGTTGTAAATTGTTGTAAACCTCTCTGGAATTAGCAATGAAGCATAGTCTGAAAGTGTGTTGAGAAGAATACATCTATCATAGCTCAAGGGCACAGTTTCAGCTGGCCAGATGGAAGGAGGTGAAGTGTGGGTGGGTTCCCACAAGGCAAGACACAGTTATAACAGCAAAGAACCTTTATTGAACTAACAGAACTGGACAACAGGGGCAAAGCAACTGCTTATATACATTTCTGAAGGCCTGGGCCACTCCCACTCCCAACGTGATTGGCTGTCTAAACTTCCAAGCTGCGAATCACGACTCAGAGTTTAAGGGCCAATGGCAGAGGCCCAAATCCTGAAATGTTCTGTGATAGGATACCATGTATCAAATCAGAACACAGGAGCTCAGAATCCTTAGTCCAGACTCAAGCTCAGGCAAACACAGACCGCTGAATACATAACAGGAGGCGTGAGGACATTGTTCAGCTGCTGTTCTGTGGGTTCTCCTCACTGAGCCAATTTGGGAGGGGAAACCCCATTACTCAAGCAGAAGTCCTTGCACGGGCTTCCATGGACAGTATTCTGGCTCTTTGTACATAACTTTCACTGTCAAGCTCTTCTTGAAAAGAGCTTAAACTCACAGTTTAAGAAACGAAAATATCTGGTTGCTATTTTTGTTTTGTTTCTCAAGTCCAAAAATAACATTTCACATACTAAGTTTTGCTTTTTGTTTCTAACTATCCCCTTTCAATTTTGTCCTTCGGAAATATTTCCTAATAGATCACAACACGCGTTAGCCAAACTTCATGGTTCATCCATTCTGGAGAGACACCACTTGGAATTTGGCAAGTTTCTACTCTCAGAAGAGGTTTGTGGTCCATACTTTTCATACCGCATATTTGGAGAAATGCTGATTAGATTTCGCATAGGTTTTTTTGTTTTTTAAACTACAGACTGATGTGGAAATAAGGAGAGCTGAACTTAACAGTGGGGAAATGAGAAACCAAGAGAAACCAAAACTGACAGATTTCTCTCCATGTGAAACAAAGTATTAGGGGAAAGATGTAGATACCCAAAATGATGAATTCTAGTCTTCCACTCTGATCTATGCATTTCCCCCTCTTTAGTCTCTGAACATTTACCAGAACCTTAACCGGAGGCAATTTGAACATGTGAATCACTTGATGGATATTGCCATTATAGCTACGGACTTAGCATTGTACTTCAAGTAAGTTATTAATAGATTTGCTACGGAAATTCAAGATGGTGGACGTTTTCCTTCAAAGCATTCATTTATATTCTTATGGAGAAGGAAGCAGAACAAGCTGAGGATGGGATATAGGATAGGCATTTTCCTTGGTATCGTATCGCAAGTGCCCACACAGTCTATTTAGGAGATACACCACAGTTCTTTTTCTTTCAGGGACAACCGTCCCCCGGCTGTTGTTGGCAAAACAACACACACAACACAAAAAGGGAATGGGAGGGGTGGAAGGGTGATTGCTGAGGCAAAGCAGCAGAGCGACACAGTTCTTTGTATGGAAAGTGGTTTATTTGCTTTGGTTCAAGTTAAAGCCAAGGATTTGAAGACAAATCTTAAAAACTTTCTACGTGCATGCAGTTAGCCTGCAGAAAATATCCTGTTGGCTTTCCACTTTAGAGACAATCTGGTCTGGTCTACAACAACAAAGCATATAAAAACAAACAGCAGTAAAACACTGCCATTTACTGCCTTTGAGTAATAATAATAATTTATTATTTATACCCCACCCATCTGGCCGGGTTTCCCCAGCTACTCTGGGCGGCTTCCAACAAAGTATTAAAATACAGTGGTCTGTTAAACATTAAAAGCTTCCCTTAATAGGGCTGCCTTCAGATGTCTTCTAAAAGTCTGGTAGTTGTTCTTCTCTTTGACATCTGGTGGGAGAGCATCCCACAGGGCGGGTGCCACTACCGAGAAGGCCCTCTGCCTGGTTCCCTGTAACCTCACTTTTTGCAGTGAAGGAACCGCCAGAAGACCCTCAGAGTTGGACCTTGGTGTCCGGGCTGAACGATGGGGGTGGAGACGCTCCTTCAGATATACAGGACTAAGGCCGTTTAGGGCTTTAAAGGTCAGCACCAACACTTTGAATTGTGCTCGGAAACGTACTGGGAACCAATGTAGATTGGCTTTCAAGACCAGTGTTATGTGGTCTCGGCGGCCGAGTAGTGTCCAGATAAGGTCTCTGTCCAATGCCAGGACAGTCCCAGGGACAAAACCTTATCTAATACAGTGAAGGGAGTTTTATCTCATAGGTTCTTTCTCATTCTTCTGATCTTTGTGAGTGTATCTTGGAAGAAAGGTGAGAGATAAGGAGAAAATGTGGTATATGAGCTAACTATGGCTATACCCCACCACCCATAAAAATGAGGTGCCAATATTTGTATACTGATAAAAGTGCCACCAGCACAAAATGGCTCCCCTAGACAGCAAAAAAAAACTTAAAAAGTAACTTGAGTGATTAAAAAAACAAACACCTTGAAGAGCTTTTGCTCTTAGTATTGGGCTATCAAAAGGTGATATGAATTCATATCAAGGCATAGAAAGGGTTTAACCTTCTTTCGTTTCCTATCTGCAACCTTGTTGTTATTTTTTAAGAAAGAGGACAATGTTTCAGAAGATTGTTGATGAATCCAAAACCTACAACAGTGAGAGAGAGTGGGTTGAATATTTGTCCTTGGAGACAACAAAAAAAGAGATTATCATGTAAGTGATTTTTTTTATCAAAACGAAACAAAAATGGTTTGCCTGAACAAATGAGTGACAATGAGCAACCATGATACCTGTTTCATATGTTAAATATTTATATTGAGGCAAGCTGTTCAGTAACATCCTGAGATGTTGCAAATTAAGAGGCTGAAAGGAAAATAGCACACTGTTGCATGAGAAGAACAAAGGAACATTTATTGTCTTTGCTGGCCAGACAGACAGGCTCAGTGGATTAGCATCCAACAGGACTGAGCACCCTCCAAAGAAGGGGGCTTCCTAATAGACTTTTCCCTTATCTGTTAAGACTATACATATGCATGGAGTACCTTCCAACCATTTGGGAATAATGCCCTACTAGTGGTTCCGTATAAGGACTCTGGTTAATTGCATATTACCGGAAATGTGTGTGCGTCCTATGGGGCGAATGCAGGCTTCCGCTGAAGCCGGGAGAGCGAGAGGCGTCGGTGCGCACCGACCCCTCTCGCTCTCCAGGCTTCAGGAAGCTATCCACAAGCCTCGCGCGCCCGGCGGGAGGTCCCGCCGGGTGTGCAAAGCTTGGGGCGGCAGCCTGCAGCCTGCAGCCCGAAGCACTGGGTGCGCTGCGGAGCACGCCCCGTGCTTCAGGCAGATGTCCGCAAGCCTTGCGCACCGGGCTCACAAGGCTTGCAGGCAGCAGCCTGTTCTGGGGGCTGGGGTCGGGGGAAAGCTCGTCCTATGGGGCGAAAAATACGGTAATTAAGCAAGCAAACAAAGGACTCTCTGAGCACCTTCATGCAGCATGTGGGCTTCTGTATTTTGCATACACTTTGCTATGTGGTAACAAGATAAGGAGTAAAGCCTTAAGGACAGAATGTCTCCTGATACAATGGGGCAACTCTTTGGTGCAAGATTAGCTGCAGGTCTCTAATTGCCACATTGGGAGGGCAGATGATGCTCTTGAGATCACATACTTGGTGCATGCTACAGCAATAGATTGGGGGGGAGGAAACAGGATCCCAGGAAAATGCATTATTATGCTTTGGACCACAATCCCCCAACAGATGCCCTGACAATGGAGCATCAGTATTCAATCCTTGTGGTAAGGACCTCCGATTTTTTCAGGAACTAAAGCACAACTTAAACACAATTTTGTTCATTGGGTTTGCCGGCATTATTATTTACATCTGCTTAAAGAGAACAAGGCGTTTGCTGTTTCATCTTCAGCCATGATCCATCTGTGCTGATTCAGCTGTTCCAGGCCTTGAATCTGAAAAAAACAATGAGGATACTCCACAAGGTGTCTAAATCTACTCTTCAAAGCTTTTAACGGTTCCCTCCCACTAGGGCCCATGCTCAGAGCAGAGTGTGCTTCTCAGTAATTGAAACCAATTGGATTAGATGAGCCATTTTAGCAGCAGCTAAGGAACCAGGAGCCCTTTAGGATTGGGGATTAAAAATGGAAGCTTTAAAGACATGGGCAGCGTGGCTAGCTGCTATATTAGCAACTACACTGCACGCACACACACACACACACACACACACACACACACGAATAGCACACATATATAGGGTGGGTTTTGAGGCATGAAAGGAAATAACTGTGCCAGTGTTCCACATTGCATCTTATACATTAGATGCATAGGCATAAAAGCTCACCCCCTGTCTGTGCTACTAAGTCTTTTATAGGAACTATAAACCCAGGATTAAGGAGATTTGACTACAAGGTCAAAAGAGGCAATTGTGTTATCTAGACATATGACAGGCTTGCCGCAGCCAGCTGTACCATCCCAACTAAATTTAATAAATATGATTTCAGGATAAAATGATACATATCTTGGTAGAATTCTGGGGTATAGGGCTGAATCAAGGATTTTTGCCGCCTGAGGCAAAGGACAAGATGGCTTCCCCTCTCCACTTCATGCACGGAAACCATCTGGACTGGTAGTTGAGTACAGTGGTACCTCGGGTTAAGGAATTCGTTCCGGGGGTCCATACTTAACCTGAAACTATTCTTAACCTGAAGCACCACTTTAGCTAATGGGGCCTCCTGCTGCCGCCGCGCCGCCGGAGCACGATTTCTGTTCTCATCCTGAAGCAAAGTTCTTAACCTGAGGTACTATTTCTGGGTTAGCGGAGTCTGTAACCTGAAGCGTATGTAACCTGAAGCGTATGTAACCCGAGGTACCACTGTATTATCATTTCAACACTGGTCATGGGATAGTTTCCTTCACAGCAGCTGAGGCAGCAGTCTTGTTTGGGAAATGAGGGTAGGCTGGGCCATTATCATAGGTCCTCCGACGGAGAGGAAAGGCTGGGGAGCTTCAGAGAACTGGTCAGGGCGCTGCTGCCACTGCCTGCTAATATTGGCTCTCTCAGGTGGGGCTGGTCCTGTTGGTGTAAAACAACACCAGGACAAAGTAGTTTCTGCAGCCAGGAGAAACAGACTTCTACACACAAGTCTCCACTCTTTCTCCCTGCCAAATCCCACATTTCTCAGACTGATTCCACTCTGCCAGACCTCCTTGATGCCTTCTTAGTGTTGTAAGTGGGGCTGCTTTTAAGATTGCTCGTAAGTTTAACATGTGCAAAATACAGCAGCAAATTGCTGCCCGGGACAGGGGGAACGGAACTTCTATTACCTGTCTTAACTGCACTGATTCTCTGTTTCTCTTCTGCCCCCTCCTCTTTTTCTATAGGGCTATGATGATGACTGCCTGTGACTTATCTGCTATCACGAAACCCTGGGAAGTACAGAGTAAGGTCAGGTGCCCGGTGCAGAGTACCCATTCTTTAATGCATAGACTAAGAGCACATTACTGGGACGCGGGTGGTACTGTGGGTTAAACCACAGAGCCTAGGACTTGCCGATCAGAGGTTTGGCGGTTCGAATCCCCGCGACGGGGTGAGTTCCCGTTGCTCGGTCCCTGCTCCTGCCAACCTAGCAGTTCGACAGGATGTCAAAGTGCAAGTAGATAAATAGGTACCGCTCTGGCGGGAAGGTAAATGGCGTTTCTGTGTGCTGCTCTGGTTCGCCAGAAGCAGCTTAGTCATGCTGGCCACATGACCCGGAAACTGTACGCTGGCTCCCTCGGCCAATAAAGCGAGATGAGCGCCACAACCCCAGAGTCGGTCACGACTGGACCTAATGGTCAGGGGTCCCTTTACATTTACCTTTAAGAGCACATTGCCAAATTCTAGGTTTCCTCATCTTATGGTTTATTACATAACAACTCCATCATTGTAGAAGGTACTTTACAGAGTTAAAATAAGCAAAAGGCAGGAGACAACTCCAGTAAGCTCTTAAACTCTAAGAGTGTGGAATTGAGGACAAATGTGTTATTTTCCTTTCTCTTTCACTCATCAACGTGCTTCCACCCATTTGTGAACAGCATCCCAAAAGGTGGATATCGTTCCTTTTAGTGTTCCTATCAATACAATTCAAAGGGGAGGCAGCCTATAAGATTTAACGAGCATATATATTTAATTTGAAAGCGTGTGAAAAAGTGTTCCAGGTCTAGTAGCAGAACCCAGAAGATGTAAGGAATTCTTTCCATGCATCAGTAGAGATTGGATTTTTAAAAATATGATTAACTTCAACGAAAGCTGGAAACAAAAAAGTTTGGGGAAAGAAGTAACCATTGAAACATGTTCCCCACCCTAATTATTCTAAAAGTGAGCACTGATAGCAGTAAGGGAATTTATTATCCAGTTTGCAAGCTGTCATGCTGGCCACATGACTCGGAAAAACTGTCTGCAGACAAATGTTAGCTCCCTCTGCCAGTAAAGCGAGATGAGCGCTGCAACCCCAGAGTCGTTCGCGACTGGACTTCACTGTCAGGAGTCCTTTATCTTTTTATGCAAGCTGCTAAACTGCAAATGCCCCAAAGCTTAGGCATTTGTTTTTCCTGGATACAGGTGGCACTACTTGTAGCAGCTGAATTCTGGGAACAAGGAGATATGGAAAGAAATGTACTTCAGCAACAACCTATTGTAAGTTCTCTCCCTACACTTCTTATTATTTTCAAAGTTGATGTAAACAAAGAAAAGAAATCAGAGTGACTATATATGGAATAATCCAATAAAGGGAAAGTGGATAAATAATGCTATCAAGGATAACCCTCCCCCATATAATTACAAACTAACAATGTAAAATCAAAACCAAATCAGTAACATGGAAACCCATCATGGGAAAGGGTGAAGCTTTCTGAAATACTGCTTAACATGGCACTTTCAAAACTGGATGAGGGTGACTGCATAAGGCAACTGTCTCTCCTTGTTTTGCATTCCAGCATATTTTAAAGGGGGGGCATTCTTGTTAAAACTCATTGCACCCTTTACGATTTATGATTTACTCATAAGATCCATGAGATCTTGCTTAAAATGGCAGAATCCCACAATTTAACAAGCCACTCCTGAATTTTTGAGTGCTGTCTATGTAGAAAGACTGGGCCATTATAAAGAGATTTAGTGGTTCTTAATTGATTGGTGATGTGATAATGTTGTATTGTATTATTTATGCAAATCGATTTTCTCTGGAGTTAAAGATCTGACTGGGACAAGCCTTGTTATGTTGAGCTCGTATTTTGCACAATTTGTATACGGTGTCTGTTTGATAATGGTGGTTTGTTATGCCTAATAAAGGATAAAAAGCCACTCACATAGCTGTGCCATTTCCTTCTCCTCTCCCCTAATAATAATAATAATAATAATAATAATAATAATAATAAAAAAATACTTGACAGATAGTAGTGCATCCTTGCTGCAACAACCAAATGAAGCAATAATTTCTCTTTGCCTTTTGGAGAATCTTTCAATATATTCATAGAAAATGTTTGGACTCTACACATATTCTGCAACCCCAAATCATTTTGGGAGCGTGTGTGTGTGTGTGTGGATATTTCTTAAAGCCTGTTCCAACCTTAGTAGAAAAAATAGTGCAGAGTGCATTGTCTCTATTCATTTTCAGCAGGGAACAGGCAATGGTAAAGCCGGGGGTAGCCTTGTCGAAACATGAACATCACACCAGAATCATGATGTGAGTCCTTCCACATGGGATAGCTGTATCTCCCCTCCCCCCCACACACACTTAACCATAAGAAGATGAGGAAAATGAGGGGTGGAGGATCCCCAACCCTGTTTTAGTGGGAGCCAAATCACAAAAATTTAGTCCCCACTGCATGATAATCCTCCCAGTGCAATACCAGAGCAGGAAACAGTAGCCACCAAATTATATATGAAATAGTAAAGGAGTACATTAAGAGACAGGGATGCGGGTGGTGCTGTGGGTTAAAACACAGAGCCTAGGGCTTGCCGATCAGAAGGTCGGCGGTTCGAATCCCCGCGACGGGGTGAGCTCCCGTTGCTCAGTCCCTGCTTCTGCCAACCTAGCAATTTGAAAGCACATCAAAGTGCAAGTAGATAAATAGGTACTGCTCCGGCGGGAAGGTAAACGGTGTTTCCGTGCGCTGCTCTGGTTCACCAGATGCAGCTTAGTCATGCTGGCCACGTGACCCGGAAGCTATACACCGGCTCCCTCGGCCAATAAAGCGAGATGAGCGCGCAACCCCAGAGTCGGTCACGACTGGACCTAATGGTCAGGGGTCCCTTTACCTTTACCCTTTACACCACCTTTACATTAAGAGACATCACTTCATTGACATTGTACAGAATCCTCCTTTACAGAGGACAGATCTCTATTTGAAGGTGTCCTTCATTTGAAGCTGCCCTGTCTAAGTCTGGTTTAAAGATAAGGAACCATAAAAAGGACAGCAGCCGCCCTGAAAGTGCCTATCAGCATTTTGTAGCCCCTAGGAAGCAGGTGAACAGGTATTCAAGTCACCCAGTGCCTTCTGTACTGTGGTGAGATGTATTTCTATTTAAATTACAATGGTTATTTCTAAATTTCCACCTAATGCATATAAACCACCATATGCAAATTGGTGCCTTCCCTGTTTTTTGGTATGTAAATCCTCTTTTTTGGCAGTGAATAACTGAGTGCTGGTCTTGCCCCCTTTCCAACAGTCTTGCTGATTACAGCCCATTTATTTCGACCCACGAAAATTAAAGGAAGCCACTAAGAATAGTGTGCACTTTTATCTGTAGAACACAGTCCTGGCTTCAGTTTCTTGGCCAGGACATTATTACTAGAGCACAACAGAGACCAGAATAAAATGATTATAATAATTTTTAAAGTTATTGCTGTTTTTCCCCCCTAGCCTATGATGGACAGAAGGAAAGCTGCTGAGCTTCCCAAACTTCAAGTTGGTTTCATTGACTTCGTATGCACCTTTGTTTATAAGGTAAGAAGTTAGTACTCAATATCTACTAGGCCCTTAAACTCTAGCTACTGGTAGTTAAGGTAAATAATTTTTAATTAGAGCTAACATTTTCAAATGTTTTAAAATAATGACACAATTTAGGAAACTAAGATTGCTTCTGCACTAGATGTTTCCTCAACAATTACCATACTTTGTTCACTCACATATTATTGTTGCATTCTAGTACTTTCTGTGTTGTCCTCCCCGTTTTTTTCAGGCCTGATTTGTGGCAAATTTTTGCAACGCAAACCAGTTATAGGTAATTTTTTTTTAAAAGGTAAAGGACCACTGGATGGTTAAATCCAGTCAAAGGCAACTATGGGGTTGTGGCACTCATCTTGCTTTCAGACCAAGGGAGCCGGCATTTATCCACAAACAGGCCATGTGGCCAGCAGGACTAAACCGCTTCTGGTGCAACGGGACACAGTGACAGAAACCAGAGCGCATGGAAACGCCGTTTACCTTCTCGCCACAGCCGTACCTATTTATCTATTTGCACTGGTGTGCTTTCGAACTGCTGGGTTGGCAGGAGCTGGGACAGAGCAATGGGAGCTCACCCCGTCATGGGGATTCGAACCGCCAACCTTCTGATCGGCAAGCCCAAGAGGCTCAGTGGTTTAGACCACAGCGCCACCCGCGTCCCAGTTATAGAACTACTGTGTGTACTATGGGTAGGCAAGTTGCTATTGATGCTCTTAAGGGCTACTTAAAGGCTACCCTGAGATTAAGAATCTCATGCTCTACCAACTGAGCTATGAACATATTTAGTAACTGAGCAATGGCTACATAACTTCTTACCTCTCAACTGTCCCTCTCAGCTATGCTCTGGATGAGCTCTGCAAGGAAGGCACCTATGCTGTTAATTTTCTTGAAAACAATCTACCACTTGGTTTAACAAGAAAGTTGGATTGATGTTGTGAATTGTATTTGAAATGTTAAAATATGATCTTTCCCACAGACATTTCTTAGCTACAGACTTACCACTGAAATTGAGAACCATTTTAGAAAATGGATTTATTACAGATCTTTTTATTATGGGTAATTCATAGGGGACGGGGGTGGCACTGTGGTCTAAACCACTGAGCCTAGGGCTTGCCAATCAGAAGGTCGGCGGTTCGAATCCCCGTGACGGGGTGAGCTCCTGTTGCTGGGTCCCAGCTCCTGCCCACCTAGCAGTTCGAAAACATGTCAAAGTGCAAGTAGATAAATAGGTACCACGTCAGCGGGAAGGTAAACGGCGTTTCCGTGCGCTGCTCTGGTTTGCCAGAAGCGGCTTAGTCATGCTGGCCACATGACCTTGAAAAACTGTCTGCAGACAAACGTCGGCTCCCTCGGCCAGTAAAGCAAGATGAGCTCCACAACCTCAGAGTTGTTCGCGACTGGACTTAACTGTCAGGGGTCTTTACCTTTACCTTTAATTCATTTTTAATCTGCAAGAAGAAACAAAAGTGCAACAATAAATATTTAAACATCATCAACATTTTTAGTGATTGGTTTAAAGAGACAAGACAGCCAGAAAACTGAAAATGCTTTGGGTTTCTACCACTACTGCCTTTTTTTGTTTGCATCAGGAATTTACACGGTTCCATTCAGAAATTCAGCCAATGTATGACAGACTACTGAACAACAGAAAAGAGTGGAAAGCCCTGGCAGATGAGTATGACGAGAAAATGAAAGCTTTAGAGGAAAAACAAAAGAAAGAAGAAGAGAAAATGGCTGCCAGTAGAGGTTAGAAAACAAATGTATCTGGAAAGGTTAATTTCCTCCATTCCTTTCCACTCCTGCTTTATACAGGCCCCATCTGAAATTCTTGTGTGCTTATTTCTGGATGCTGGATAAAACTAAGTAACTAGATACATACCACCCAACTTTTTCAAGGGGAAAAACAAGACGCGCTTCCAGGCGAGTCACATGACGGGGTGTCCCTTTTTTCTGGGACACTTGGTGGATATGTAGATATCAAGGCATCCTACCTGAGGCAGCTTAATTAGCATATCAACAGAGCAAGAGCATAATTTTGTTTAGGTGTTAAACATGAACTACTAGTTCACACCCAGCCCTCTTCAGTCCTGAATTCATTTTCAAATGCCCCAGTTTCAAACACCTAATATACTTCACTGGGCAACAAAATATTTTGTTCAACATCACAACCCACCTGCCAAAGATATCCCCCACTCAGCAATCTCAAAGCAATCTCTTAAGCAGAAATTAAGTAGGTTGTGCTTCATAGCCACACAGCTTTTAAAAATGATCCTCCTAAAGCAGCTCACCCTAATAATGGCTGTTTTTTATTCCCGTAGGAACGATGACAACCTGCAATGGGGAAAGCGTTCCCCCGTCTCCAACTTGTTGCATAATTTAAGTCAACAAAGGTCTGTTTCAGGGATCATGCATCATCTGGCCTGGATTTACCACAACCAGCAGTAGACCAAGAGTCACAGACATCCTGGCTGCCCGATGACTGCACCTGTATAATATATGTTATATAATATGTGTGTTACACTTTGTTTTTATGTGTACAGTGAAAACATATATAGCTAAAAAGAAATGCCATCAAACATTCTCAGAGTCATTCCCTAGAACATGGTGTGTGTGTTAATATCTATCTATCTGATGGGAATTGGTAGGAAGATATATTCATTATGTTTAATCCTCTAGAGACCCACATGTGTAAGTTAACAAAAAACAGCTGGATGGTTTTAAAACATGAGGCTAGCACGCAGAGAGCCCCAGCAGAGGAGTATTAAGTCCCATAGTTAGGCAGTTTAATGAACAGGAATAGGCTATGAAACCTTATTTATTCTGTGTGAAGCCGGTGACTCCCTTTTCCCACTTTTTCCAATGGAACAGACCAAAGTAAGTTTAAAATGTTTTATTTACAATTTCTAGGTCTCAGACATGCATTTTTCTTATGTAGTTGCAATGGAATAATGCAAGTGAAATACTCCTGGTTGAAATTCAGCAAAGTTAGCTTCAGGCTGTTGTCTGAAGCAGGGAGGTCTTGAGAGACACATCCTGCTTCCATGACTGCTTCATGGAGAGGGAGAAAGAGAAACGGGGACGGACGGACAGGAAACAGGCTTTACTTCCTCCCTCTCAAGAGAAGAGGGGGCATAACCTCACTTAGGCTACTCTAGTAATTGGAACTCTTTGTTCCTTAACCCTTTCATATACAAACTAGCAAACATGCAGGGGTTTTATTCAGCTGGAAATCACCAGAACTCAGTTCTGGCACCTCTCAGGTGGGCACCATTGCCATTATAAGAGAACAAGGGTGGTGTTGACAGTGAGTTCTGGCACTTCTTTTTCAAGAAAAATAGCACTGCAAATATGTACTGTTCGGGTTGACTGCTAAAATTTCCCACACTATTTACAATATAGGTATGTATATCAGTACAGTCATACCTTGGAAGTCGAATGGAATCCGTTCCAGAAGTCCGTTCAACTTCCAAAACATTCAAAAACCAAAGCACGGCTTCTGATTTGCTGCAGGAACAGAAGGTCGGTGGTTCAAATCCCCGTGACGGGGTGAGCTCTTGTTGCTCGGTCCCTGCTCCTGCCAACCTAGCAGTTCGAAAGCACGTCAAAGTGCAAGTAGATAAATAGGTAGTGCTCCAGCGGGAAGGTAAATGGCATTTCCGTGCGCTGCTCTGGTTCACCAGAAGCGGCTCAGTCATGCTGGCCACATGACCCGGAAGCTGTACACTGGCTCCCTCGGCCAGTAAAGCGAGATGAGCGCCACAACCCCAGAGTCGGCCACGACTGGACCTAATGGTCAGGGGTCCATTTACCTTTACCTATACTTTAACAACCAGCCAGCAATTCTGGATCTCATCCTTGTAAATCCAAATGCCGTATCCTCACCTTCCCCATCAGGGAAAAAAGGGTGAGTGAAGATCTGCATCAGGAACAAGGGGGGGGGTGGAATTAATTTCTACATCGGGACCTGCTGCCCCTGTGGATCCTGCCATCTCCACCTGAGGCAGTTTCCCTGACCTCACCTTGCCTGCTGGGTGAGGCTGCCCTGCCACAGGGTTTTGTCAATAAATGCTCTCCCGCTTCCTTCTTACACACAGAATGCTGTAGTTGTTATATTGCAGAAATTTAGTAACAGCAACAACTACTACTGTACTTTGATTTGCTGGAGTGGTTAATTTTTTACCTCTCAGTAGCTTTGTGCTGTTAACAGTCCTGAAGACAGATTTAATGCTGAGCTTTCAAAAGAATGTCAGATTTATTTTACAGATGTATTAAAGATGTCAAAACACATTCTTTTTCTCTCTGGTGTTTATTATATGTAGAAGAACCACAGAAAATAATAGTTTTTAATAGGATGAGTATATATGATAGCTCCCTTTCGATCTGCAAAACAGTCACAGCAGTGAACAAGCAATGTTTTAGTCATGGGAAAAGTGACCAAGAACCTGCTTTCTTTAGCAATACAGACACTGTAGCAATTGGTCAGGCCAGTCAAATGACCACACAGCAACAGAGAAATAAAGCAAGAAAGTTTTAATTGTTTGCCGGCAGCAAGCAATGGCACGGAGGAAGAAGTTCCAAAGTCTGGAACCCTTCCAACAGGGGAGGCTTCCCTTTATACATTCTTGAATCAGGTCTTTATCCAATCAAAAGTTACAGCATTACACATACTCTGACAGATGCAATAGATTCTGCTTAGAGACAAGAACTGCTTTTCCTGGAGATTGTGTTCCAGACAGATACATTAGCTTCTTCCTAGAGACCGGGCATGAGGAGTTGGACATTACCCTTCCGTGTCCTTATTTGGTAATCCTTATCAGCCTATATCTGTGTGTCTCTGGGTAGTGGGTGTCTGAGTGTATTTACTGGATATGGGGGCCTGGCCTTAGATCAACAAAAATGGCTTCCTTGCTTAACATTTTAACTCTCAAAATGGCTTCCCTGAGCACGTTGCCACAACACCATAAGGGCCCACTGCCATGTTGGTGATGCTTATCTGTGATGTTTTACATTTCCCTCTTTTAGAAGCATTGTGACATGTTACATTCCTTAGCTTCAGGGCTCAGTTTCGGCACCTCTCAGGTCGGCGCCATTGCCAGTGTAAGAGAACAAGGGAAGCATCCATGGTGAGTTCCGGTACCTGTTTTTCTAAAAAATCAGCACTGCTTAGCTTAATTTCTTGAGGTGAGTTTGTTGGACAGAAGCATCAATGACCTGAGAAAGATGATGGGGCAGCTCTTCCCCAACCTTCCCTGAGGGAAGGCAGGAGTGTGGGAGCCCAGACCAGGGAGCACACATACCATTAGCTTATGACATAAACATCAATTTGTTCTAGTATTTTAGAATTGTAAACCAGCTCAGGTGCTTTAGCATGAATGAATGAATGCTCCATGTATTTCAAGCTAACTTTGTCCATAGCTTAGGAAGCACAGGACGTGCAAAAATCTTAGTAGGGTGAAGAAAAAACAATACATGGGCCATGCAATGTGAAAACCCCAGAAACAAAACAAAACACCTCTAATGGATATGTTTGTAGGGGACCAGAGACAGAGACTGGGTTCTTCTGGCATTGGGAGTTTTAAGGTTTTGGGATGCTTGCTAGCCCAAACTGCCGTCCCTCCCGGGGGATCTTTGTGTTTTAAACTTGACTTCTGACACCATGAAATGCAAGGTCCAGCCAGGAAGAGACAGAAGAAACTCCAGGAAACTCCTAACAGCACTCATATACAATCTTTCAGTGCCAACCTATGTTTTAAACTACATATCATGGGGGAAGGGGGACCGACACTGTGGGATGCTTTCCTCTGATTTCAGACAAATGGAAATGCAAAGTCCCGAGAGATTCTTTTACAGCATTTCCATTTTTCCTTTGACTTTGGATACCTGGCATGCTCTATGGTCGCTGTAACCAAATTGCTGAATTTACATGCACTGTATCATCAGCTCACTCCCTGTAGGAAGGTCAGGCCTACCTAGGCAGCAAAGTGAGATCAGGTTAGGGATAAAGCTGTTGAGATGGGATGGAGGCAGTCTGAGGAAGAGTCTGGCTGTACCTCTTGCCATGAAATATGGAAAATCACTGAAACCAAGCAAAAAATACCATAGTATTACTACTTTATTGATAAAATCATTTCTATACTGTCTTTCATTCCAAGGTTTACCAGAGCAGTTTACAGCAGTTAACATACTAAAAATAGGATAACATTAAAACCAAACAAGTCAATATCATCACCATCTAGAAACACTAGAGATTATGGGCCATTTAAATTAACAATGCTTTTAAGAAGGAAAGAGATTTATAGACGTCGTAAATGAATAAACTTTACAATATTGTAAAGGAAGAGTTTCAAATCTCAGGGCAAGGAGTAGATTGTTGTTGTTTAGTCGTTTAGTTGTGTCTGCCTCTTCGTGACGCCCTGGACCAGAGCACGCCAGGCACTCCTGTCTTCCACTGCCTCCCGCAGTTTGGTCAAACTCATGCTGGTAGCTTCGAGAACACTGTCCCACTATCTCGTCCTCTGTCGTCCCCTTCTCCTTGTGCCCTCAATCTTTCCCAACATCAGGGTCTTCTCCAGGGAGTCTTCTCTTCTCATGAGGGGGCCAAAGTATTGAAGCCTCAGCTTCACGACCTGTCCTTCCAGTGAGCACTCAGGGCTTCAGAATGGAGAGGTTTGATCTTCTTGCAGTCCATGGGACTCTCAAGAGCCTCCTCCAGTACCAGAATTCAAAAGCATCAATTCTTCGGCGAGGAGTAGATTACATGTTGTTATTTGTCATAATGGTCAACTGATTAGAAAAAGTTCCAATGAACTAAATGATTAGGACAAGTATTTCCAGTATTTACACATATTTACACCTGAGTTTAGTTGAAGGGAATACAGAATACTGCACACTAAGGTGACAATGTGAAAATACCCTTACTCTAACAGTGGGTGCCCCTTTCAGCCTATCTGAGGGTAGCAGTCTAGGTTGGGGATGAAGAGCAGATTCTGGGCCACACAGCTCTGCATCCCAAGGCTTCACTCCCCACACCACAACATCTGCAGCAGTTAGTGCCAATTGTGAATAAAAATATCCTATTAAAGGCATGAATCTGGATTGGGCAGTCCAGCAGAGGGGTATGTGCAGTCTTCTCCATTAAAAGGCAAACCACATTTGAAGCTAAAATAAAGTGGTTTGTTGATGGTGTTATAGATTTGTGAGGGGGACCCTCCTAAACCCCAGAAATTAATAAATGGTAACATTTTGTCCATTTGGGATGTGAAGAGAGAAATACAAGCCAATACACCTGAGACAAGTATTACACACACACACACACGCACACATATAGATAGAGCAAGGGGGGAAATGGCTGGTGGGAAAATCTTTGGGGATTTTCTTTTGCACAAGGGATGCATGTCAAAAGCCCTCTTTTCTTTATCTGAGCTTCAGAATGTGCACTAAGATTACTTTGAGTTTTGCATTGGACAATATCAAGATTACTGAGTGTGCTGAAAGGAGGGCAGACAGCACTAAATCAAAAACTAATAGCATATTTATGCCAGACATGTAGAAATTAGCCATACGAATGAGTAAAGCAGCAAAATACATAATGCCAAAGAACAGAGAGAACAACAAAGACTTCATGACGTTGAGATAGACCTGAGTGCTGAGGTCTTTAATGGCAGAGCCACTCTTTCTTAGATTCCTTATGTGCCTCCAAAGAGAGATGAGAAAAAGCATGGATGCTGTTACGCTCAGGATGAAACTCATGCACATAGAACAGTACTGTAGAATTCTAAAAGCAGATAATGGGTCTTTGCAAACCTTGCTGAGGCTGGCATTCTGTGTCAGAGTTCCTGAGAGATTACAGAGCTTCTTATTTTCAAAATAAAGAATGATTGGAGGAACAGAGAAGAGCATGAGAGCTATGATTGCCATTCCGAGCAGTCTAGGTGCAAGCACATTGATCCTTAGCTTCAGCCAGAGGAACAGGTGATGGGGGAAGTTGGTGACCTTCACACAGTAGAAAATATCAAGCCATGTGGCACACCAGAGGCTAACACTGCTGAGAAACAACCAGAAATATACACCAATCTCTTTTGTAGAAGTACGCATATAGTTCTCTGGAAGGCTGTTGTACAGAATATTATTTATCATGACGGTCAGCTGTAGCATAATTCTGGAGGTGCTCAAACCGGTCAAGAGGACGTCGCAAGGGGCCATCTTCCTGTTTTGGAGCCATCGGTGCCCATTCACAACTATGATAAATCCATTTCCTAAAAAGGCTACAGCAGACTCAATTGCTAAAAAGGTCTGGAAAAAGATGCCAAAAGGAGTAGTTATGCCCATTGTTGTTACTCTCCACGAGAAAAGCCTGAATGCATGAATTATCAGCGTGTAATTCTCCTGGTTTCTTTTGGATGTCCAGCAGTGGAAACGCTGGAGACTTGGGCTTTTAAAATGATGAGATCATGGTGTGGAAAGAAATGCAAATCTCAGAAGGACTCTGTTACTAATGACAGAACCAGGTATCATGTTATTCACATATACTTGGATTTCGACATATGCTGGGACTTCAATGATCAACCAATCTCTGTCAGTTTGGGTTGGTAGGTTGTATACTTCCCTGTGAGGGAAAGAATTGCCTGGGGATGAAATGTTTCTCCCTTGGTCCAGAGAGGTTTACGACCTGACAGGCTACAGCTGACTCTGTTTATGTGAGGGTTACATTCTAGGAACTGCACATAAAGCCAAAATAGCATAGAGTCAAAACACTCTCACCCTGCAACTTCGAACGCTCTCCCAAGGTGAGTGTAATGGCAGGTGGGAAGTTTTTTTCTTTTGCAAGATCCACCTCCTCCTTTGGGGCCAAATACCTAAAGCTGAATTTGCGTAAGTTAAATGTGCATAATTTGCAAGTTGGTCATACGGCAATTACTTGGGGCAGAATGAAAATCGACTACACACAGAGAGAGCAACTTGATTAATATGGATGCAGAAGATGGGCAGAGTGTGTTGTGGGTAGCGGGCTGATAGGCAAGGCAATCTATTTAACCTATGCAGAAATCTCTTCCAAAGGACTTAATAAGTCAAAACAGAACAAAACACCTCCAGTGGATATGTTTGCAGGGGACCAGAGACAGAGACTGGGTTCTTCTGGCTTTGGGAGTTTTAAGGTTTTGGGATGCTTGCTAGCCCAAACTGCCCTCCCCCCCTGGGGATCTTTGTGTTATAAGCTTGACTTCTGACACCATGACATGCAAGGTCCAGCCAGGAAGAGACAGAAGAAACTCCAGGAAACTCCTAACAGCGCTCAGATACAATCTTCCAGTGCCACCTATGTTTTAAACTATATATCATGGGGGAAGGGGGACCGACACTGCGGGATGCTTTCCTCTGATTTCAGACAAATGGAAATGCAAAGTCCCGAGAGATTCTTTTACAGCATTTCCATTTTTCGTTTGCATAATTGACTTTGGATACCTGGCATGCTCTGTGGTCGCTGTAAACAAATTGCTGAATTTACATGCACTGTATCATCAGCTCACTCCCTGTAGGAAGGTCAGGCCTACCTAGGCAGCAAAGGGAGATCAGGTTAGGGATAAAGTCTGGTGAGATGGGATGGAGGCAGTCTGAGGAAGAGTCTGGCTGTACCTCTTGCCATGAAATATGGAAAATCACTGAAACCAAGCAAAAAATACCATTCTATTACTACTTTATTGATAAAATCATTTCTATACTGTCTTTCATTCCAAGGTTTACCAGAGCAGTTTACAGCAGTTAACATACTAAAAATAGGATAACATTAAAACCAAACAAGTCAATATCATCACCATCTAAAAACACTAGAGATTATGGGCCAGTTAAATTAACAATGCTTTTAAGAAGGAAAGAGATTTATAGAAGTCATAAATGAATGAAATTTACAATATTGTAAAGGAAGAGTTTCAAATCTCAGGGCAAGGAGTAGATTGTTGTTGTTTAGTTGTTTAGTTGTGTCTGCCTCTTCGTGACGCCCTGGACCAGAGCACGCCAGGCACTCCTGTCTTCCACTGCCTCCCGCAGTTTGGTCAAACTCATGCTGGTAGCTTCGAGAGCACTACCCAACCATCTCATCCTCTGTCGTCTCCTTCTCCTTGTGCCCTCTATCTTTCCCAGCATCAGGTTCTTTTCCAGGGAGTCTTCTCTTCTCATGAGGTGGCCAAAGTATTGGAGCCTCAGCTTCAGGATCTGTCCTTCCAGTGAGCGCTCAGGGCTGATTTCTTTAAGAATGGATACGTTTGATCTTCTTGCAGTCCATGGGACTCTCAAGAGTCTCCTCCAGCACCATAATTCAAAACCATCAATTCTTTGGCGAGGAGGAGATTACATGTTGTTATTTGTCATAATGGTCAACTGATTAGAAAAAGTTCCAATGAACTAAATGATTAGGACAAGTATTTCCAGTATTTACACATATTTACACCTCAGTTTAGTTGAAGGGAATACAGAATATTGCACACTAAGGTGGCAATGTGAAAATACCCTTACTCTAACAGTGGGTGCCCCTTTCAGCCTATCTGAGGGTAGCAGTCTAGGTTGGGGGATGAAGGGGAGATTCTGGGCCACACAGCTCTGCATCCCAAGGCTTCACTCCCCACACCACAACATCTGCAGCAGTTAGTGCCAACTGTGAATACAAATATCCTATTAAAGGCATGAATCTGGATTGGGCAGTCCAGCAGAGGGGTATGTGCAGTCTTCTCCATTCCAAGGCAAACCACATTTGAAGCTAAAATAAAGTGGTTTGTTGATGGTGTTAGAGATTTGTGAGGGGGACCCTCCTAAACCCCAGAAATTAATAAATGGTAGAATTTTGTCCATTTGGGATGTGAAGGGAGAAATACAAGCCAATACACCTGAGGCAAGTATTACACACACACACACACACACACATGCATATACATATACAGATAGAGCGAGAGGGAGACTGGCTGGTGGGAAAATCTTTGGGGATTTTCTTTTGCACAAGGGATGCATGTCAAAAGCCCTCTTTTCTTTATCTGAGCTTCAGAATGTGCACTAAGATTACTTTGAGTTTTGCATTGGACAATATCAAGATTACTGAGTGTGCTGAAAGGAGGGCAGACAGCACTAAATCAGAAACTAATAGGATATTTATGCCAGACATGTAGAAATTAGCCATACGAATGAGTAAAGCAGCAAAATACATAATGCCAAAGAACAGAGAGAACAACAAAGACTTCATGACGTTGAGATAGACCTGAGTGCTGAGGTCTTTAATGGCAGAGCCACTCTTTCTTAGATTCCTTATGTGCCTCCAAAGAGAGATGAGAAAAAGCATGGATGCTGTTACGCTCAGGATGAAACTCATGCACATAGAACAGTACTGTAGAATTCTAAAAGCAGATAATGGGTCTTTGCAAACCTTGCTGAGGCTGGCATTCTGTGTCAGAGTTCCTGAGAGATTACAGAGCTTCTTATTTTCAAAATAAAGAATGATTGGAGGAACAGAGAAGAGCATGAGAGCTATGATTGCCATTCCGAGCAGTCTAGGTGCAAGCACATTGATCCTTAGCTTCAGCCAGAGGAACAGGTGATGGGGGAAGTTGGTGACCTTCACACAGTAGAAAATATCAAGCCATGTGGCACACCAGAGACTAACATTGCTGAGAAAAAACCAGAAAAATGCGCCAATCTCTCTTGTAAAAGTACGCGTATAGTTCTCTGGAAGGCTGTTGTACAGAATATTATTTATCAAGATGGTCAGCTGCAGCATAATTCTGGAGGTGCTCAAACTGGTCAAGAGGAAGTCGCAAGGGGCCATCTTCCTGTTTTGGAGCCATCGGTGCCCATTCACAACTATGATAAATCCATTTCCTAAAAAGGCAACAGCGCTCTCAATTGCTAAAATGGTCTGGAAAAAGATAACAAATGGAGTAGTTATGCCCATTGTTGTTACTCTTCACGAGAAAAGCCTGAATGGAAGAAGTATCAGAGTGTAATTCTCCTGGTTTCTTTTGGATCTCCAGCGGTGGCAACTCTGGAGACTTGGGCTTTTAAAATGATGAGATCATGGTGTGGAAAGAAATGCAAATCTCAGAAGGATTCTGTTACTAATGACAGAACCAGGTATCATGTTATTCACATATACTTGGATTTCGACATATGCTGAGATTTCAATGATCAACCAATCCCTGTCAGTTTGGGTGGGTATACATTTTTTTGCAGGGGTATCAATTTTTCAATGCTTGGACTCTAGGTAATTCTGTTTCACCATAAGTGACCTCCCAACTTGTGATAATATGAAATGTTAAACCTCATGGATAGGATAATCTACTGAACTACAGTAGAAGAGCAACTAAATCAATGAGGTATTTGTGAGATGCTTTGGGGCTGCGTCATGGGGAGAAATCTTAGGTGAGCCATGGATTGAAGCCTTGGGAGTCAAGGGAACCAAAGGGGAAACCAGGACTGAGAGCAAGTAAGAAGTCAGGACCAAAAAAAAAGCCATTTAGAGCCAAGGGATATCTAGGAAGCAGGACTGAAGAGTAAGCCAGATGTCAGGATTGAACGGCAACGAAAGAATACAGGAAAGTCAGGTTCACAGGTCAGTCCCAGGCCTGGGGATATTAAGCTGCTTAGGCAGCTCTTGGAAGTAACTCAGAACCTGGAGCATTCACACACTAACCCAAAGCATCTCTGTTCAAACCTCCATAGGTTTCTGTGTATGTAAAGGTAAAGGTACCCCTGCCCGTACGGGCCAGTCTTGACAGACTCTAGGGTTGTGCGCTCATCTCACTCTATAGGCCGGGAGCCAGCACTGTCCGCAGACACTTCTAGGTCACGTGGCCAGCGTGACAAGCTGCATCTGGCAGGCCAGCGCAGCACACAGAACGCCGTTTACCTTCCCGCTGGTTAGCAGTCCCTATTTATCTACTTGCACCCGGGGGTGCTTTCGAACTGCTAGGTTGGCAGGCGCTGGGACCGAACGACGGGAGCGCACCCCGCCGCGGGGATTCAAACCACCGACCATGCCATCGGCAAGTCCTAGGCGCTGAGGTTTTACCCACAGCGCCACCTGCGTCCCGCTGAGTGAATATATGAATATATACATATTCTGAATATGTACTGTCTCACAATTCTCAAGACAGCTCCTTGGGTTGGCCTCATCCATTAGGGAAAAAAGAACCTGCCCAAGAATGACATGGGATGAAGCAGCTGCTTTGGGTGGCACCTGAGAGATATGGCACAGATGAGGAAGAGGAGGAGGGAGCTGTTGCCCCACTGCTGCTTTACGTGGTGGGATTGCCATAGCCACTGTCTGAAGTGGTGGTGGCAGCATTTCAAGGCAAGAGTCAGGGGGAAGTCAGAAATAAAACAGCCGGTGCCAGTGAAGTTAACTCTTTATTCAAGGAAACAGAACGGCTCAGGCCTAGTGAGCCCAGCAACTCTTCCCCAATGCCCAAGTGAAACAGTTGCGGGGAGTGAAGGTCCCTGCCCTCCCACAACTCTCCAAGTCTCCTCCTTGCCAGCAACTTACCCAAGGAACAGGAATATTCTCTGTCTTTCTATCTGTGCTCCACCCTCTTCATACCTCCATGGGTTCTGGGAGACCAGAGGGTATGGGATGTGAAACACAGAGCAGTCAAATACAACATTCCTAGAGTGCTCATAAAAGAGGATGTCTGGACCAGCCAGTCGGAACTTCCTGTTTCCTCCTGGGCTGGGACAAACTTCCTCTACATGTGACCAGATGTGGGCGTGACCTCACCTATGCAGGTAAGAAAATAGCACAGTGGAGGTAGCCATCTCTCTGACTCCATTCCTCGAAGAAGCAAAAATATTCATAGCCTGAGATGCTCTCTTGGCTTGCAGCCAAGAGAGGACAAAGGAACTATCTCCTTTTGGGATAGATTCCAGGTGTATATATTTTGTAACTTAAGTCTGCCTCCTGGGATCCATTTGTGAACAGAATGTGAGTAAACTGTTTTATATACTTATATACAAGACTGTGTCGCGTCTATTTCTTTTATGAGGGAATAAAAGGGGAATTACCAGGCAACTTATTCTAGAGGCTTAAACAAGCCTGGCAAAGACATTATCCGCTGTACAAGTTTAAAAGGGGGAATGTGACTCTGCTAAATTGTAGAACTTGTTAACACAAGTTGGGAAGGATATAATTAAACAATATATCCTCTCCTGCCTCCCTGATCATTCCCACAAAGGAGAAGGGAGCTGGTCACAGCAGGAGGGGGAGACTCCCTGGCTTCTTTAGCAGCCTGACTTGCTGCTGCCTCTTGACCCTCTCCTCTCCAGCCTCCTCTTCTGCCTCTCATTCAGGATTACTCTTTCCCACAGCCTCTTCCTGCTCACTAAACCCTGTTACCTCTTCAGCTTCCAACACCTCCTCCTTCTACTTTGCTCCTTCTTCTCCTTCTGACCACACATTGTCATCCTACCACCAATCCCCTGGCTCTAAGCTGTCTTCCCTTTGGGGTTCCCCTGCTAGTGCCTCACATCACTTTTCTGCATCCAGGCTGTCACTGACAAAGCAGGGCATCCTATTAAAGGCATGAATCTGGATGGGGCATTCCAGTAGAGGGTATGTGCAGGTTTTTTTTCCATTCCAAGGCAAACCACCTTTGAACCTAAAATAGAGAAGATTGTTCATAAAAAGATTGTGGCTGGCATCTGTCTGTCTTGAGAGAGAGAATGGACTGTGCCTTTTGAAGTGGGGGGCGAGGTGAAGTCAAAACGCTACGTTAGCAGCACCGAAGTGACGCACTGGGGTGCATAAGCTGAGGTGTGGGTTAGAGATCCAGGGAGGGCGCAACCATCCCTGCACTCCCCATGGACTTGCAATATCTCATAGAACCAGAGTTGGAAGGGACCACGAGGGTTATCTAGTCCAACCCCTGCAATTCAGGAATCTTTTTGCCCAAAGTTGGGCTTGAACCCACAATCCTGAGATTAAGAGTTTCGTGCTCTACCAACTGAGCTATCAATATTTTTGTCATACAATAAATAATACAGCTACAAAAGAGCAAATGATTTGTTTTGTTTTGTTTGTTTTTTAATTGTGTTTATTTACAACACACACTTGTCAAACTAAACATGAAAATAATAGTACAGAATCAAAAGAAAAACAACAACAAAACACAAAACCAAAAATACAAATAAAACATGATAAAGTATGACAACTTTATATTATCTCATAACCCATAGTGGTTATTAAACCCTTCTAGGTCCAACAATATCCACTGTTAACCAATTTAAACAAACCGAATCGTAATACAACTTTAGGTCAGATAATGCCAGTCTACCTCTGTATATTTTATCTATTAAAAGTTTATATTTAATTCTTGCTGCCAAATAAATTTTGATAGGTCTATTTGCCATAATTTGAAACAGCCTTCCCCTCCAATGATTGGTATCATTTGAAATAAAAACATCGTTTTAGGCAACACATTCATTTGTCCTACTGATATCCTGCCACAAAGTGAAAGTCTTAACTTATTCCCGATTTCCAAATCTCTTGGGACTTCTTTCCAAATTTTTGTATAGTTGTCTTTAAATAGGTTACAGTGGTACCTCAGGTTAAGAATGTAATTTGTTCCAGAGGTCCGTTCTTAACCTGAAACCGTTCTTAACCTGAGGTACCACTTCAGCTAATGGGGCCTCCCGCTGCTGCTGCACCACCGCCACGTGATTTCTGTTCTCATCCTGGGGCAAAGTTGTTAACCCGAGGTACTACTTCCGGTTACCCGAGGTGTTTGTTGTACTATTTTGGTTTGTCAGCCAGATTCCCAGGTACTTGGTTTTGTTTACTACTGCCAATCCTGATATCTTTGTAATTCTTCTTTTTCCTGCATAGTCATATTTTTGCTAACATATTGGTCTTGTTTTTGTTTAACTTGAATCCTGCTACTTTCCCGAATTCAAGATTTTTTTCCTATTATTTGTGGCACACTTTCTTCTGGGTTTTCGGTTGTTAATATCAGTTCATCTGTGAAGGCCTTTATTTTATGTGATTTTTTTCTCAACTGTTATGCCTTTTATCTTTGTGTCTTTCCTTATTACAATCGCTAGGCATTCAAGTACCATGATAAATAATAAGGGTGAAAGAGGGCAGCCTTGCCTGGTCCCCTTATCTGCATAAGAGCAAATGAATAAACATGCATATATCTAGCTCTGAATTAGAATGTAAAGATAATAGCTCACTAAGTCATGTAAGTCATCATAACAATCCCAAACGATGACCGATCATGGATCATAGAAATCATCAACCAACTTCTGATCTATAAGTAGGTTTTTCCCTGTTCGTTGATGTTCCTCACCAGCAAATGAATATATATTCAAGGCAAGTGCTGACTCCAGGCATTGACTTAAACTGCTCTAAGGAAATGTTCTGAAGATCTATACTAAATGAATGAATTTATAATTAAAAATGGAAGAATGAATAAATATTTTATTTCCCCCTTACTAATTACCAATATTGCTGTTACTAATGGTTGACAAGTGGAAGGATCTGTGTAAATAATGATCAAAGGTTGGATTTCTAGGCAGGAATAAAATTCAGGGCAGGCTTAGGAGGAACAGACAAGTATTAAAGGGGGGGGGGAGTTTTTTCTTGGATACAAGGAATGCATGTCCACAGCCCGCTTCACTTTATGAAGTCACATTTCTGATGTTTAGTATGCGCAAAAAGATTTCTTTCAGTTTGGGATTGGACAATATTAAGATTATGGTATGTGCTGAAGGTATTGCAGACAGCACTACTGCCAAACTGAAACCGTCATATGCTACATACCTGAAATAACCGCTTACAGGAATGATTAAAGTGGCAAAATACGTAATGTCAACGAGCAGAGAGAACAACAAAGACTTCATGAGATTGAGATAGACCTGAGTGCTGAGGTCCTTAATGACAGAGCCACTCTTTTTCATATTCTTTCTGTGCCTCCAAAGAGAGATGAGCAAAACCATGGATGCCGCTACGCTGAGGATGAAACTCATGCATATAGAAAAGAACTGTAGAGTATTAAAAACAAAGAATGGGTTGTGGCAAACCTTGCTGAGACTGGCATTCTGTGACAGAGTTCCTGAGACATTGCAGAGCTTCTTAGCTTCAAAATAAAGAATGGTTGGATGAGCAGAGAAGAGCATGAGAGCTATTATCACCATTCCAAGCAGTCTGGGTGCAAGTACATCGATCCTTAGCTTCAGCCAGAGGAACAGGTGATGGGGGAAGTTGGTGACCTTCACAGAGTAGAAGACATTGAGCCATGTGGCACACCAGAGGCTGGCGTTGCTGAGAAATAACCATAAAAATGTGCCAATATCCTGTACATAGGTACGCATACCACTTTCTGCAGTGTTGTAGTACAGAACATTAATTGTCAGGATGGTCAGCTGCAGTATAATTCTGGAGGTGCTCAAACTGGTCAAGAGGAAGTCGCAAGGGGCCATCTTCCTGTTTTGGAGCCATCGGTGCCCATTCACAACTATGATAAATCCATTTCCTAAAAAGGCTACAGCAGACTCAATTGCTAAAATGATCTGGAAAGAGATAGCAAGTGGAGTAGTTATGCCCATTGTTGTTACTCTCCACAGGAAAAGCCTGAATGGAGGAAGTATCAGAGTGTAATTCTCCTGGTCTCTTTTGAATGTCCAGCAGTGGAAACTCTGGAGACTTGGGCTTTTTAAAATGATGAAATCATGATGTGGAAACAATGCAAATCTCAGTAGGATTCAGTTACTAATGAGAGAACCAGGTGTCATGTTGTTCAGGTACTGAGACTTCAGTGATCAACCAGTTTGGGGTGGGGTTTTTGTTGTGGGTTTAAATTTTACAGTGCTTGGACTCTTGGTAATTCTGTTTCAACATAAGTAACCTCCCAACTTCTGATATTTTGAACTTGCACTTGTGAGATGCTGTTGGGGCTGCCTCATGGGCAGGCATGTGAGGTCAGCCATAGTAGAAGGGGAAGTAATAATAATAATAATAATAATAATAATAATAATATCATCATTAATCTCAGTCCACATATCACTAGGTTTCCCCAGCTGAGTGGCTTCCAACAAAAATACAGAGGAAAAGGAAAAGGAAAAGGAAAAGGAAAAGGAAAAACACATCGGGCATTAAAAGCTTCCTGAAAGAGGGCTGCCTTCAGATGTCTACAAAAAGCTATACAGTTCTTTAACTCTTTAACATCTGCCAGGAGGGTGCTCCACAGTTTGGGTTCAACTCCCAAAAAGGCCTTCTGCCTAGTTCATTGTAATTTCACTTCTTGCAGTGAGGGAACTACCAGGAGGCCCTCGGAAGTGGACCTCAGTTTCCAGGCTGAATGATGATGATGGAGATGCTCCTTCAGATATACAGGATGAAAGCCTTTAAGGGTTTTTAAGGTCAACAAAAATACTTTGAATTGTGCTCAGTAACATCCTGGGAGCCAATGTAGATTTTTAGGACCGGCATTATGTTGAAGCCTTGGGTGTTAATGGAACCTAAGGGAAAACCAGGAGTCAAGGCTGGGGAGCAAGCTAGAAATCAGGACCATAAATGGCATTTAATTTGAGACATTTGGGTCAGAAGACCAGGAAAATGTTGCCTAACAGAAAGAAGCTCAGTTGGATATCATTCTAGAGAGAATGTTTTTTGGGGGAAATTTTTATGTAACTGACAGGTGGAAAGTCCTTTTACTTTTCTTCTCTCTTCTCTGAATATTTTGTAGCCTTTGCTTCATGTAGGTAGTGGGTGGGAGGCAGGGAAGGGAAGACCTCCCTGGGTGAGAGAAGGGGAGAAGAAAGGAAAGCTCCCAGGTCAGAGCTGGGAGGGTCCACCACGATCTGTGTAAGACAAGAGTTAAGACCTACTTTTGAGAGGACTCTATATTTTCTTTTCTTTATTTTTCTCTGTTTTTCTTTTTATATAGATTCCTTTTATATAGATGCCGCTACACTGAGAATGAAACTCATGCATAAAGAACATAACTGTAGAGTTCTGAAAACGAAGAGTGGGTCGTAGCAAACCTTGCTGAGACTGGCATTCTGTGTCAGAGTTCCTGAAAGATTGCAGAGCTTCTTGTTTTCAAAATGAACAATGACAGGATGAACAGAGAAGAGCATGAGAGCTATTATTACCATTCCAAGCAGTCTGGGTGCAAGTACATCAATCCTTAGCTTCAGCCAGAGGAACAGGTGATGGGGGAAGTTGGTGATCTTCACACAGTAGAAGATATTGAGCCATGTGGCACTCCAGAGGCTAACATGGCTGGAAAACATCCAGCAAAATGAGCCAATATCCATCGTAAAACTATGCATATATTTCCCCAGAAGGCTGTAGTACAAAATATTATTGATTATGACAGTCAGCTGCACTATAATTCTGGAGGTGCTCAAACTGCTCAAGAGGCAGTCGCAAGGGGCCATCTTCCTGTTTTGGATCCATTTCTGTCCTTTCACAGCTATGATAAATCCGTTTCCTAAAAAGGCAGCAGTGAACTCAATTGCTAAAACGATCTGGAAAAAGATACCAAATGGAGTAGTTATGCCCATTGCTGTTACTTTCTGCCAACTATGCCTGAGTGGAAGAAGTATCAGAGTGGAGTTCTCCTGGTTTCTTTTGGATGTCCAGCAGTGGAAACTCTGTAGACTTGGGCTTTTTAAAATGATGAGATCATGATGTGGAAAGAAATGCAAATCTCAGAAGGTTTCTGTTACTAATGACCGAAACAGGTATAATTTTATTCACTTATACTTGGATTTTGACATATACTGAGATTTCAATGATCAACCAGTTTCTGTCAGTTTGGGGTGTTTTTGTTTTTGTTGTTTTTTACCGGGGTATCAATTGTACAATGCTTGGACTCTAGGTAATTCTGTTCCACCATAAGCAACCTCGCAACTTGTGATAATGTTAAATGTGAAATAGCGTGCACATCGGCAGAGCAAGCACCTGGGGTGGTGCGCCTGGGGGTGGGCCAGCCGCCCATGGGGTGGGG